GAAATTCTTCACTATGAGGGTGGTGAGAGCCTGGCCCAGGTTGCCCAGGGAAGCTGTGGCTGCCCCATCCCTGGCAGTGTTGAAGGGCAGGTTGGATGGGGCTTGGAGCAGCCTGGGCTGCTGGGAGGTGTCCCTGCCCATGCAGGGGGTGGGACTGGGTGGTCTGTGAGGTCCCTTCCAACCCAAATAGTGTCATGATTCTATGGCACATTTTTCATGGAAACAGCAATTCCAAGCCCTGGAATGTCTGAAGGTGCCCAGCAGGTTCTAGTGACCATCCCTGGTCCCACAAGGTCCCTCTTCCATGCCACAATCCCTGGGGGAGCACCACAAGCTGCTGTGCCTCAGTTTCCCCAGGATCCATGGTGCTATCACTGTCTCTGGCAAGACTCCAGTTTCAGGGGTGCTTTGGGATAAAGAAAAGCTCCTATTTTTTCACTTCCCATTAAAATCACATCAATTTCTGGATGACTTCACTACCCTTGCTGTTACACAACCAAACCAAGCCATAAAGCAAGGAGACAAATCAGCCCTTTTTTAATGCCTTTTGGGTGTTGTTCTGTTATTTGATGGGGGTTTTTTTTGCCAGGATAAACGCTTAAATATCAATTAACTCCCCCTGTGTGGATAAAAATACGCATCAATGAAATACATACGATGGGTTGTAAGTGTCCCAGCTCCTCCACCGCCTGCCCTGGGGACCCACAGAGCCCCCCACCCCGCCCAGCAACCTCCCAGAACCATTTGCAGGGGATTAAAGCCCCGAAGCCTCATTTCGGAGCCTTTATCTGCACCGCAAAAGCAGCAGCCGCGCTCCGGCTTGTTAATGAATGAGACAAAAGCCCCTATAATGTCCCTGTGAAACTGGATTGTGGAACACTAAAAAAGAAACCCACGTTTATTTGGAACAAAAAAAAAAAAAAAAAAGCGAGGAGAGGGTTTCTCTCTGGTTTAACCGGCAGAGGGGGCAGGAAAAGCTGAATTTCACCCGGTTTTGCTGCAAGTTCTGCAGCATCAAGGGGGGCAACAACCCACGTTGCCCTTCCCAAGCTCCTGGCAGCCCCAGGACCCGGGGTTTCAAGCCTCCTTTCCCAGCACCAGCTCTCCGAGAAGCGTCAAAAATCCTGCTTTCCGACTGATTCAGGTGCTTTAGAAGCAGCCGGATCCCCAGGCCGGGCTTGATCTCCCTGGAAATGCCGGGACATCAGTGCTCAGCAGGGATCAGCACTGCTGGGGTGGCAGCTTTTTTTGTCACCCTCAGGTCTTTCCTATGGGTATTTTTTCCCCAGCCCCAGGTTACAGGAGGTGTCTCCCTCCTGCAGACTAAACCCAGAGAAGAATTCACAAAAAAAACCCATTAAACCCCCCCCCAAAACCCTCCAAAGTACAGATTTATTTCCTTTTTTTCTACCTTTAAAGGTAGAAAAGCTCCAAGAACATGGAACTGGTTCATGGCACAAAGAAACAGAGATTATTCCCTATTTATTTTTATATATATATTATTTTTTTTCCCTGCAGGAAAACCTCTGAGCACTTTGAGGGGCAGCAGTTCCAAGGAGAGCAGCTGTGTGATGAGCTTGCCTGTTCTCAGCCCAGCCTTGGCAAGTAGGTGCCCTGTGGGGGGGGGGATCCCTTGGGCAATGCCACGAGCAGCCAGGCAGTGCAGATGCCACCAGGACCTTGGGCCAGGACAAGCCATCCCTGAGCCAGGGCAGGTTGCCCAGGGCTCCCAGCCCACTCCCCTCACTCTCCAGCTGCCACACAGCAGGCAAGGGGGGTCACCCCAGGGGTGATTGTCACACATGTCACGCAGTCAAGGGCCACTGCTCCTCTGCTGCATCCCTTTGCAGTTCCCTGCTCAGGCTCTCCCTGTCCCCCCTCAGAGCTGCTGAGGAGGTCTGGGGGCTCCACAGGGATTAGCAATGGGTTTGTCACCTCCGTGGGCTGCTCCTGCCCTGGGCAGGCTTGTCCAGGTTCCCACGGTGGAGCCCCATCCCATCCCTGCCCACGCAAGGGGCAGCTCCAGCAGCTCCCAGCTGAGACACGAACAACAGCTCTGGGCTCCAGCTTCCTCCACAGAAACAGAGACTCCCCTTTCCTGCTCTGCTTCCTTCAGGCAGATAACATTGTCTGGCCAGGAAAAGCTGCTCCTGCCCTGGGCAGGCTTGTCCAGGTTCCCACGGTGGAGCCCCATCCCATCCCTGCCCACGCAAGGGGCAGCTCCAGCAGCTCCCAGCTGAGACACGAACAACAGCTCTGGGCTCCAGCTTCCTCCACAGAAACAGAGACTCCCCTTTCCTGCTCTGCTTCCTTCAGGCAGATAACATTGTCTGGCCAGGAAAAACAAGGAGAAACAAAACCCCTGCCCTGGCAGGACAAGCCATGCCAGCCCCCCTTCCCTGCAGCATCAGACCCCCCAGCTGCTCCTCCCTCCCTCACCCCCAGCCCCCTTCCAGTTTGCCATCAGGCCCAGCTGAGATCAATCCCCATCCCACTAAATCTTGGGTTTCCTCAGCTGTTTTGGCCAGCCCAAGGCCAGAAAAGCCTCTGGAAGGACACAGGCTGGTTGGTGCAGGTGACCTGCAGCACCAGGGTGTTTTGGTTTGGCTTTTGTTTTCTTAAATTTATCAACTGGAAAACAAAAATCATGTACCCTGGAGTGTTTGAGAGCCCAGCAGTGGTGAAGGCTCCTCTGTGGGTGACTTTGTGCTGGCAAGGATGGGGGTGGAAGTGCTGGATTTAATGTTGGTGCTAAGGGATGTGCAGTGCTATGGGAAATCTGCTGCTTGGGCTGTAAGGATCCAACTTCAGGCTCTCTCTGCTAAGAGAATAATGTAGTTTCAGCATTTCTAATGTTTCTGGGATTTTTACACAGATTTTTTTTTTTTTTTTTAAATGGAGCCCAAACCCCTGGCTTTCCTGTCATTTCATGGGTCCTTCTCACTCAGCCCCTCTCCATCCAGGCATCCCATGGTGGAGAGCACACAGGATGGCTCAGGGTTGCTGGGAGCACATCCAGAGCAGATGTGAGGTCCCTGCTGGAGCACAAACAGGGATGGAATTGCCCTGAGCTGCAAAGTTGCACTGCCTGAGCAAGACTGGGTTTTGCTGGTGGTGCTGGGGCTTAATCCATTACTGGTGACTCAGAAGACACAGACATTTTGGGGACAGTCTCCTCTCCCCTTCAGCCTGGAATCCTTCTGTGGTTTGAGGAGCAAATCCTCTTCTCAAGCCTCAGCTCCAGTTCTCCTTCACCCACTCACTGGGGACATTTATAGCAGAAAAACCTCCGTGGTGCTGGGGAGAGGATGGTTCCCAGTGGCTGAGGACCCAGAATTTGGGATCCTGCCTTGGTTGCCCATCATAAACAAGGAACCAGCATTTCTGAGATGCTGGGAGAGCAACATCTGGCTCAGCATTTGCAAACATCATGTCACTCGGAGCAGAGGAGGCTCCTGGTGAGCAGTTCTGAGCAGAGCAGAAAGGGCAGAAAGGTGGGGGAAAAGTAATTTTAAAAAAATGAAAAGATGGCAGCAGATCAAATCCTGAGTAGATCTGCAGTATCTGGGTTACCTTAATTATCTTGGGCTAAATATGGAGGCCAATTAATTAGAGGGCGGCTGATTTCCAAAGAAAATTAGTTTATTCTTAATGAGCTAATCAGTCCCTATTTGAAAGGAACAAAAATAATGAAGGGATGAGGTTGTCCAAAGGCGTGTGCAGCCACTTGTCAGGGAGGGCTGGGACTGATTGGGTGCAACGTTGCCAGGATTTCCAGCCGGGCCCCACGATCCCCTCGGAACAGGTTGCAAACGGCCTCGTGCTCCCCCTGCTCTGACCCTGCTGGCACCCAGGTGTGGCTGCCAGGGAAAAAATAGGATGGTTTGCTGGAAATACTGGTTATTAGCACCAGATTTAGGACCACGAGCAAGCGGGGTGCTGGGTGGGCATCCTCCCAGCTCAGGGCCATGGGGAGGGGGGCAGAGACAGGGGCTGGAGGCTCCGACGGCTCCCACAAAGCTCCTGGTTTTTGGAATATTCATTAGAGTCAAGCTGTGTGCTGCAATTAAGACACTGATTATAATTTCTTCCATCTGTAGCTGACTCTGCTCCAGGAATTAAAGAGGAATTCAGGAGAGATGTGAGTGTTGTGGGGGGAAGTGTCCTGGAGCAGTGCTGGGGCTGGGAGGGCAGCTCCTCCTTCCCGCCCCGCTGGATCCCAAACGCTGCTCTGGTTCCAGGGGCAAAGCAAAAGTGATGTTTGTGTCACGTTCAAGGTCACTGCTAATGGGTTTTTTCCTCCAGGAGACACAGCTCTGTGTCTACCCTGGGGACCAACACTTGGCTGGGCATCACATCCCACCCTGAGCGTGGTTCCATAGGAACTTAAGATTGTGTGAGGAAGAGACGGAATTGTAGGATCATTGAATTGTTTGGGTTTGAAAAGACCTTGAAGATCATCCAGTCCAACCATTAACCCAGCCCTGCCAAGGCCACCACTGCCCCATGTCCCTCAGCACCACATCTACAGGGCTTTGAGATCCCTCCAGGGATGGGGACTCCACCAGTGCCCTGGGCAAAAGGGCTTTTCCAAAGATAAAGGTGGGCGCACAGCCGTGTTCTCCCTTTGGGGCTGTCCAGGGTGTGACATTTAGAATGCCAGACTGAGACTGGTTTGGGTGGGAAGGGACCTTCAAGACCACCCAGTCCCACCCCCTGCATGGGCAGGGACACCTCCCACCAGCCCAGGTTGCTCCAAGCCCCATCCAACCTGCCCTTCAACACTGCCAGGGATGGGGCAGCCACAGCTTCCCTGGGCAGCCTGGGCCAGGCTCTCACCACCCTCACAGCCAAGAATTCCTTCCCGACGTCTACCCTCCATCTCTCCTCTTCCAGCTTAAAGCCATTCCCCCCTCGTCCCACCCCTCCATGCCTTCATGAGAAGGGCTGGAGCACCTGCCCGTGCCTCGGGACCGGCGTCACCCCCGCCAGGGCCTCACCTGCTCGAGGGGGATGACGAGGAAGGAGCCGCCGCCGGCGCTCTCGGTGACGATGGCCAAGAAGCGGGCGTTGACGGCGCAGAAGTGGTTGTCGTGGACGTTCTTGGTGATGGGGATGCCATCGAAGCAGTGCTCCCGGCTGGCCACCTTCCCGTAGACGTTCCGGAACTTGGAGCTGCGGTACTGCGGGCGCCATGACATCTGCTGGGCACAGACACAGCCTTGAGACTTCCCAAAACATCCCCCCTTCCCAGCCCCCCGCGCCGCTCCCCAGCGCCCGTGCTCGGACCTGCCAACGTGATGCACTTGGGGGGTTGGGAAATAGAAAAAAATCAGGGTTTTGGATGTTCTTTTACAGAATAACAGGAGAAGTGAGGGGCAGCTGGGGGAGGTGCCTGCTGCAAAATTGATGCTGATGTCTCCTCTGCAGCATGAGGCAGAACACGCAGGGCAGGCGCTTCGTGCCCGTCTGACAAAGGAATTAAGGCTTTTAATGCACTGACTTGGAAGTGGGTTGGTCAGGCCCACGTGAAGGCACCGGGGTGGAAGGAGAGCAGGGAGGGAGCCCGGGGGGGCTGCAGGCTGGGCTCCTCTGCTGTGTCCCCTCTGGGTGTCCCCACAGCATCAGGGAATCACACCCCGGCTTGGGTTGGAAGAGACCTTCAAGACCATCCAATCCACCCTCCCTGCCATGGGCAGGGACACCTCCCACCAGCCCAGGCTGCTCCAAGCCCCATCCAACCTGCCCTTCAGCACCTCCCAGGGACAGGAATTCCCACACCAAGTCCAAGTGCTGCAGCTGCATGTGCAGAAATGAGGGCACTGGCACGAGCAAGAGAGAGAGTTGTAGAATCACGGAATGGTTTGGGCTGGAAGAGACCTTGAAGATCACCCAACTGTTTCCCAGCCCTGCCAAGGCCCCCCCTGCCCCACGTCCCTCAGCACCACATCTACAGGGCTTGGAAACCCCTCCAGGGATGGGGACTCCCCCCCTGCCCTGGGCAGCCTGGGCCAGGGCCTGACAAACCTTTCCAGGAAGAAATCATTCCCAATATCCAATCTATCCTCACAGCATCTGCCACCTGGCCTGCAGGAAACCTGCCCACAGCCAGAGCCCTGTGCAAGGCTCCTGCTGTGCTGCTTTCACCCCACATCCCACCCCAAATCCCAACTGTTTCCCATCCCACCAGCATCCAGTGGGAGCAGCCTCGCTGCACAGGAGCTGCCAGCAGCCCCCAGGCTGGCAGGAG